ACAATGTTTTAATTTTTAAAAATTGCATACCTATTTCTGAGTGGAGTATCTTTGACTTAAGAAAGACGTTTCTCACCTAATCAGCTGCATAATCGACACCGCCCTTATAACATAAAGAGCCTCAAAGTCTCTAAGTTGTCTTCCAGGCCCTCTGGCTGTCCCAGAAATTTGGAGCTGAATAATTTGGAATTGCTTGATTTAAATTCGGCAAATCAGATTCGACATTTGCTGTTAGAAACTGGCCGTTGTTATGTAGAAACTGAAAGCTTACTTTATGCCGGATATAAAGCAAAACGAAAAAGCAAAAATCCCGTCACATGGGTCAAAGTAATCACCATTAGTGACCTAATTTCACTGCAAATGTTTTCATACTATAAAATAAGCCAGTCATTCAACTTTTGCTCGGCAACATAATCATGAAGAAAAACTTGGTCTTGAAGAATTCATTATCACATAATTGTGATAATTGTGGGCTTAGCGAAAATTGTTCTTATTCCTAATTTAGACATAAATAATTTGGTGGCAGGCTTTGAACTTCATTTTTGTATGAGGTCATTTTTCCATCATAACTGCACGATGATTATCCTCGAACAGAAACGAAGGTGTTTTTCGCGAGAGGTTTGCCTCCCCCTCTGAATGCGGCTTTTTTCCGACATCGACGAGTTTCTACCTCGGATACCTGTGTCGATTATACAGCGTCTTTCATGCCATCAAAAATGGGTTTGCTTTCACTAGACCGGCTCTGGTAGAATAGGGCACTCTGACTAACTGGAATATACTGAAATGCCCTTATCAGTAGGATTGTTCTAATTTCCCTGTATTCAATTGGTTTAGTCATTATGGTGCACGCACCTTCTCTAAGCTGCAAGCGCATGTATGTGAACTTCCTCGAAAAAGTTCATAATGAGGCAATGCAAGCTGAAGGCTCACCTGTAACGTGAAATTCCCATCGGCCTCCTCCACCCGCGAAGTGAGTTCATTTACCTCAGCGACAAGCTCCTGCGACTCGTGTTCGCACTGGGAAAAGAAAGCAAAAGCAATCAAGTTATTAACAAACATTTATTCCGCTTTTTTCTGTTGAATTTTCCCACAATGATAAAAGTAGGACTGACTACCAGTACTTCATCACCTTAAATAAAATAGGGTGAGCACATCTCATATATCTGATTTACTAGTAGTCTCGAAACTCTACTCAACAAGGAAAAAAGTAATTTCGTCTATTGTCATAGTAAATATAAGTTTGCCTTATCGAAAATCCCAACACAAAATGTGATGTGGAAAATGCCTGAGCTTCCTTGAAATTCACATCTGCCTGGATCCACTGATCCTATGGCCATGTAGTGGAGCGGAGTGGTAGCAACGCCACGATACTCAAAACCCGGTATCGAATCCCGCTTAGGGTGTTGATGATGCCGCTACTCTTTTTCTAACGCCTCTCTAGTCCCAGACCGAGGATACTTTTCACTCGTCCTCTCGTGAGACCCCTTTGTCGCAAATTTCCATGCAGCCTTAAAAGAAACGAGACATTTATCGTTCCCCATCCAATTCGGCGGTGAAGATGTGCCTCAGGCAGATACGAGTTTCTATAAAGGGAACTTTGGTGCCAAATCCTCAGTCGGAATGTGGCCTGATAACAACGACTGAATTGTGAGGCATAAATCACTCTTATCTTAAGCATTATCACCGGATATCAAATTAGTATGCAAATAATTGCCCTACCTCACATGACAACAAAACTTAATTCTGACCTGGAGGACATACAGAACCAGATAAGCGCTTTCGAGAGTATTGATTGTAAAGAGACGATTAGTAGAGGAAAAGAATGGGCTCACCTTTACTCGAAAACTCCTCTCATCTTCAAGTAGCTCTTCAAGTTCTTTAATTCTTGTCTAGAATGCAAAGGGGAAAAGGCGCAATTAGGTGAAGTCAAAAGAAAATAAATAGCTGTACTCTGAGATAATTCACTGATAGGTAATCTCTGCATTCATGACCGAAGAGACTCGTCTTTTCAGGCTCTCGAGTTTCTTGTCGGCATATCCTGGAACGTCGATCCAAGGGCAAGGTCGTCACTAGGCCGAATAGGGGCCGACAGAGCTGGTGCTATCTACGAAAAGAGGCTGGCTGAGAGTCTTATGACGACATTCCTCTTGTTGAGTAGTCTAAAAATGCAATGGTACCACCCTTACATCGTAATGCGCACAAGAGAGGATTCTTTGTGGCCTATAGGCAGGGCCACAAAAGCTGGACTCACCTTCCGCTTAGATTGGCGAGCATGCGAAAGCCTGTATACAACGCAAATCAGAGACAGCCTTTTCGGTAAAAGCCAGAACATTGCCCATATAGCCCGTTTTGATGAGATAATAAAACGCTGACTAACTGAGTTCGAGTCCAAGTGAACTTGAATTGACAAGAACCTGCTTACGTCTGCCTTCATATATAGGCTCCTAAAGCTCAAGTGACATTATCGTCTATATTATGCTACTCTTGGTGATTAAGTAGCATGTTATTTCATCCTGGAATTGCAGCCAGGCAAGTTTTATTTATGAACATATTTGATTTATGTAAACCTCGAAACTACCAATATAGCCTAATTAAGAACCATATAACTGCTAGTTGATGCGAAAGGAACAAGAATAACTCTTGGGAAGTAAGTATATAGGAAATTAAATTGAAAGTGTAGGGCCTATTTATTAGCTTTATGGGAAAATTCAACTATCTGTCTTTATTCATCCTATGCGAACTATAGTAAATACAGAGTGACCTGAACTCGCTTTCTCAGCCTGATTGTGTTATCAGGGCGACCTTGTTAGATTCACCTTGTCCAAAGTCCTCGGATGGATTAGTTATGATAATTCTCAGAATTTTGATTAATTAAGAATGACGAGGCCCACTGACAAGGTCGCTGAAGCGTCTGGGAATGTACCACATCCACGATTAAACGCTGGGAATTATCATAGCTACTCTACCAAAGGACTTCGGACAAGGCGCACCCGACTAGGACGCTCTGACAACACGAACAAGTTGAGAAAACGAGGTCAAACCAATTCTCTAAATCGAAATGAGACTGCGACCTAAGCAGAGATCACAAAATGTTGATCTTCATATCTCTTAGGGCGAATACAATTCTCATTTATCAACAGTTTCAAAAATAGCCCAAGTCTAAGGCAAATCACAAACATTCACCAGTTTTTTTCAGGATATGTTTATCCAGCAATATTTAGTATCATTCTTATATTCTACTTACATAGACATTGTGTATGAGACATCGAGAACGGGGCATCTTTGCTCTTTTCGAAGACGCCGAATGCTGTGGGAAAAAGCCAATCAAGCATCTCTTGATGTGTTGTCAGTGGATTTAAGTAAGGAATGAGGGGAAGTGGGCACATGCGAAAGCTGCACCAGACCGGGGCACTGCGGTTTAGCCTCAATTTCCATTTAAGTAACTTCTCTACAGCTCTGACTCGCTACTGTTGAGTTAAGATGAAAAGCCAGGCTTTCATCACACAAAGCCCAAAAGCTGCATTTTGGTGGTCTCATACTGAAGAAGACTGGGCTATGAGGAGTTGGTTGGCTGGTATAGGAGAAATCTCAGCCATTTTCGAACTCCATAGGGTGCTGGACTAGGAATTGCACAATATGGAAGAAGGCGGTCTAATGCTGTCCGACTTGGAAGGAGTCAATTCGATGTCTGAACTCGTCTTCGTCAAGTTTGAGGGCTGAGTGAGTATGTAACTATAAAGAACCATAGAACTTAATTGACCTTGTTTTCGCAACATGGTCATATTGGTAG